TAATATATACCCATCTATAGATGGTGTCTCTCTCTATGAGTGTATAATATATATATATATATATATATATATATATATATATATATATATGGTATACTCATATATATATATATATAAAAATGTAGTAATTTTGCTTGAATTTTACAGAAGAGCAGAGGAGCTAAGTAAGACAGTTATCTTGGTATTTATTTAAGTTACATTGTAAAATAATGTCAAGGTTTGTCTGTAACATTTTTACAGTTCTGTCTGCCTTCAGTCTTCAAGCATCACCAAATGTCAAGTGAGTGAAAACAGTGCTTTATGTACATTTGCACATTAAATAATGTAGTTGACATAAGCGCAATTCTGATTTCACCATTCAAATGTTGCTGGCATCCTTGTGCAGTATGCACTAGTCCACAGTCTCTTCCTTGTAAATCTTTCTCTGACACTCTACTTGGCCTCCTGAGCTGTAGAATCTCCTTCTGCGATTGTCTCTGGGCTCTGCTGTTTAATATGCTGCTGCAGCAGTGCACACAGGTGGCCCGGGTGGTGCTGCAGGAGCAAGGTGGTGCGGGAGGTCAGCATTGTCAGCCCGCTGACCAGCTCACCTTGGACCACAGTCATTGATGGCAGTTTGGAATAGTTTATAATGCCCTCTACACTCAGCAATTTGTTGTCGATGCAGGCTCCTGTTGAGACAAGTGTGGTACTTAAACTGAGATTTTAAATGCATTCAAGTTAATAGTGTAACAGTCGCTGATATGTTACACTCAATGATAGACATACCAAGTAAAGTCATCTGTGGGCTCGACCTCAAAGCTGACAACATCCCATTCACTTTTGGCTCTTTACTAACAAACAACACTGTTGGACCGATGAACAAAGGAGCCATGTTGCTATAAATGCTGTCTTTCAGAAAGGACCGTGTGACCTGGAATTAATCAAGAAAACAAATTAGTTAAATCTTTTGACTTCATGTAATATGGAATTTATAAATATCAGTGCTTTCAGTTCATTGGTAAAATATGCTCTATCAAATTTCATTAACTGTTTAACTTGAATTCAGTATCTAGAGGCAGAATACAATTTTTTATAACTGAATAATTTAAGAGAGTCAGAATTAGTTAGACAAAGAAGTGTGGTAAAAATAAATAAATAAGTGAGTTTTTAAGAAATAATTAAAATAAATAAAAATTCACCTGGTTTGGAATAAACTTCACAGTGATACCATGTTTAAAAAGTCTGTGTTTGAGGAGGGTCATGTCCTCAGCGCTGCTCGCACTATTCTGAACAACAGCAATCATTTTATTCTCCTCAAACAGCTTCTTCAAACTCTTTTTCAACAGTAATACATAGCCACTATCCTGAAAAAGATTAGAGACAAGGATGACAATCTTAGAAGAATTCAAATGAAACTAAACCACACAGCATACATCAAGGACACTATGATGTCTGAACCACAACATTTAAGCACTACTGCTTTTTATTCTTTTTACATTATTTTTTAGCTCTGTTTTAATGCAGTTTTCAGATCTGTCAACACATTCTGATTTATTAGTATGTTCAATATGTATTTTAACAGGCATTACCAGACAACGTTCATAACAAACATAAGCCCATAACCCGTTTTTGCTTTGCGTCGAAAACCCCATTTCATCAAGAAGGAAAAATCATAGTTACCTGCTGGACTTGACTGTTTTTATCTGGATATGCTCCTCGTGGAATTGCATGACTGGGGGGGATGTACTCTGTGACCGCCAGGAGCTTCTGTCTAAGAATGTGCACAGCTTTCCTGTGACGAGTCACAGCCTTTGAGCCGTGGCGGACACTTTGAGTCAGGGGAGTCCATACTGAAATGTGAAAACTCTGGTTAAGCACCTTAAGCCACAGACGCTAAAATCCACGAATCAAAAGTAAGCTACAAATATCAGTGCAATGAAATCCCCGATGACACTGAGTCGCACAAAAATGCAGAGACATCAAATACAATTTCATATTGAAGATGTAAATGTAACGATAAACACGAAGAATTGTCTGTGCCTTACCTAGTTTCGGTAATAATTTTGCACACAAGGTCGTCGCCATCTTAAACAGGAAACGAATGTTTAGGAAATGACGTTCAAAGTGACGCTGCGTTCCAGGTCACCGCAGAAGTAAGAAAAACATAGACGCAATGACAATGTAATAATAATAATAATTATTACTATTATTATAACACTAGTTTTAGGACATCGCTTCAATTTTTGGACATCGACATTTATGCGATTATTTTATTTTAAATAAAATCTAATAAGGGAAAAAAACAATACGCGAAGCTGTGTTTTTCTCTTTGTGTTGAACTTACTACTTTACGGTTATAAAATACACTTATTCTGCTAAAAAACACTTTTTACTTTATGACATTTTAAGTTTAAAAATGTGTTTACATAAGGGTTTGCGTAAGAGAACGTGCATTACGTCACACGGACAAGTATGAAGCGCAAACTCAGTAGCCATGTTTTCGGTTACATCTGTTTTTATTGGGGGAGAAGCCCCTCGGTTTGTGCCGGTTTTCCTCTGACTGCGACTCATCGTAACGTTTTTGCGTCGCACTTCTGCACAAAATCCACGTTGGACAGAAACAACATGGATCTAAGTAACATGAGGAAGAAATACAAAGGAGACGAAGAGGTCAGAAGTCCAATAATGCCAATTCTAATGCTAGTTTATTACACCTGCTGAATTTACTGTGTGACAAAAAGGTTATAGTAATCTGTTACAGTGCAGTAAAGTTTTTGCGTGTGCTCGAATTCCAGAATGTCGCCGTAGCTCCAGCAACAGAAACTATGCAGTCGATTTTCCTTGCCTTGCAGGCATAAGAGTTTTGCAGCCAAATTGTATTACAGATCGCAGGAGAACACATGACAATAACTGCATTCATGCACGAAAAACCCCTTTTAAAATTTTACCCAGTCAGGATTTCTTGTTATAAAATGATAAAAAAAAAAACAAATGAAGCTTTGCTACAACATCTGGCAGAGGGTTGTAATCTTGTAATCTTTTGATCTGTTTTCTGATTAAAAATCTAATTCATTAACAAATGAATGGTTTTAAAAAAAGATCATAATGGTTGTAGAATTATTTAGCAGGCAAACATATAGGTCTAAACTTATTAATATTTTATGTGTAGAAACACATCATCATTTCATTTTCAAATGTGTATTCAATTTTGTTTTTGTTTCTTTTTTTTTACAGTGTTTTAAAGAAAGCCAGCTGGTGTCTTTGGACCCCATTGAGCAGTTTGGAAACTGGTTTGAAAAAGCCACAAAGTGCCCCGAAATTTTAGAGGCCAACGCTATGTGCATCGCCACTGCTACTAAGTAAGCACTGACACATTGTCAAATACAAGGCATTGATTTCTTTTAGAAAACTTGTCTCATTCATGCCACTATAGGGAAGGACGTCCGTCTGCTCGCATGGTCCTGTTGAAAGGCTACAGCAGTGAGGGTTTCCGCTTCTTCAGCAACTATGAGAGCAGAAAAGGCGCTGAGCTGGTCTGTATCTCCCAGTTCACCTTTGTCAATGTATCATTTCACAAACAGTTTCTGTACCACTCTACATGACATAACTTTCCAGTAAAAACTATTTCTATATACCCAGCAGTAATTATGGTGGGCTGGCTTTTGTGCCATCTGCACTGAGCTTATTTAATTTGTCTTATTATTGTAGTGATCATCTAATTGTTTATGTAGTCTGCATGTGATTTTATTATCCACGTGAACTTTGCAAATATCATCAACCTCACTAATGTTGTCTTATGACTGTAGTTAATGCACCCTGTGCTTCTTGGGTATTTTAATTTGCTTACAGGAGACAAATCCGTTTGCGTCCCTGGTCTTCTACTGGGAACCACTAAACCTGCAGGTACTTCAACGATGACTTAAATGTAATCAATAACTTGTTATATTTTCATATCAAAAATGATGCATTTTTGTTTCTGTACTATGGTCTGGTTTTATTAATTTATTAATTTATTTCAATGCAGGTTCGCATTGAAGGAACTGTGGAACAATTGCCCTACCAGGTCTCCTGCGAATACTTCCGCTCTCGACCAAAGAGCAGCCAGATTGGAGCTGCTGTCAGTCGACAAAGCAGTGCTGTTCCTAACAGAGAAGTACGCACAATTGATGGTTCAAATATACAGGTATATACAGTACTTATGTACATGTTGAAGACTACATACTAACTGTGCATCTGTTTTAGTATTTAACACAGAAGAAAACAGAGCTGGAAGAGAAGTACAAGAACAGCGAGGTTCCTATGCCAGACTTCTGGTGAGCATTATAATCTTAAACCATGTGCAGTAAATTTCATAGAGAAGTCTGTCATATCAAAATGCACAAATACACATTTACATTCCATTCCATTTTATTATTGTATATTATAACAGTTTGAGTGGTTTCCAAAATAAAAACAACTTGTCCTCAATTTAAACCATGAAAACAGAGGAGATCATGTATTTAACTTTTGACAATTTAAATGAACAACACTTACCTAAAATACAGGCTTATGAAGTTGTGAGACCATTTAGACGTTGCTAACTAACATGCTAAGTTGACTCTTTAGGAGCCAAAGAATTTCTCTAATTCCTTCAGAAATATCTATGTCAAAGAGGCAAATAACTGTGATTTAAAAACGAAAATAAATAAAGTCACAGGTACAGCCAATCAATTTATTTGCCATATCTAAAGATTCAGGAAATGCCACTAGTAAATTTTAGAAACCTGTCCAAATTTCAAAAGCAGGTTTTGTTCATAATACATTGTCTTTGTGCCATACTTTACTAACAGGGGCGGCTACATTGTCAAGCCTGATTGCATTGAGTTCTGGCAGGGCCAAACAGACAGACTTCATGACCGCATTGTCTTCACTAAACGGAAGGAAGGAGAGTGTGAGCTGGGAGACTTTCAGCACGCTGCAGCGGGAGACTGGGTGTATCAACGGCTGTCTCCATGAGACAGCTGAGTGTCGTGCACTCATCAGGCTGTAGTTAAATAATGATTAAACATATGGTAGTTATTTATTTAACAGCAGTTGTGTTGACCTTGGGACCAGAAAAGTGTCATTTCCAGGAGGTTTCATCAACACTTCAAGCAATATGTCACCAAACTATTGTGAGACCTCAGTTAAATTGCACTCATTATGTGATGTGCCAACTGTGGCAATGGATTTTCTTGAAGTAATTATACTAGTAGAACTGATGGTGTCATTTGTGCCAAGTATATTGTGTGTCTTGTACCACATTAGAAGGATATAGTAATATTTTTTTAAATAAATGGTAGAACTTCGATTCGCTGTGGGATCACGATTTGTAACCAATTTCATTTTGAGGCCAGCAGAGGTCAGCAATACAATACTTAGAAACGGTGTCACTCACAATTGAAAAGAGCAGTACCTCAAAATAAAAGAATAAAGAAATTAGCTTTTTTTGTGTGTTTCTAAGTCACCATATATGGTTTGCTTGTGTTTAAAACATGTAAAGTATTTAGTGTATTCAAAGCCTACATAGAAAAAAGTAATATTTTTGAATGCATATAAATCCTAGTATACAGTACAAGTTTTCATGGTGGTAATGTTGGTACTTAATTCTTAGCGACATCAGATATAAATGGAAAAGTCTTGAATCAGATTCCCACAACCTCACTGCAGACCAATTAGCAAAAGTTTTTCCAAAAAATAAAAAACGTTGATCAAATGTATTTCTCTGTCAGTCTACTCTCAGAGGTGAAGTAGTAGTAATACAGAAAGTACAGGCACGCCATGTGGTGTCATATGTCAGAGTCTGCTTACAATCACCATGTCAACAGAATCCACCAGCACAGGCTCAGGTGAAATGACGACCAAGGCTGTGTTACCATAAAGAGTGAAGTCTGTGATGGAAACTGCCTCAGATGTTGGTGACAGCATTATCATACATTTACAAATGTGCTAATCCAACTGACTGTACCTGTTTGTAGGGACATGTACAAACGCACAGTAGCTTCTCACTCCAACACAACTTTTATTAAAAACAAAAATAGTTTGTTTCTTTTTAAAGGAATTCAGAAAAAGAGCATGTGAACAGTTTTTTTTTACTGTGAGCAATTTTGTAGGATATTTTTTAAAAATGCCTCAGATGCAGTCATCACAATTACATTTCTGTGTGCTAGTTACAAAAGCATAGTAAAAATGTAAAAATGTAGTAATGTCCTTTGGTTTTCTACCAAAAAACACATACTTTTTTGTGCATTGACTGAACAAAATACAAAATGCCACTGTAATTATAACGCTGTTGTATTATAATTTAAAAAATAAAAACTTAAATTACTCTTGCAATGTTGATTTTTGAGGGTAGGTAAACGTTTTGTCCTTCACTGAAGTTTTTTTATCTAAAGTATAAAAGCTATCGCTGTTCTGTTCAAACATTTTCTACATCAATAAAAACTCCATTATCATTTCATTGCCCTTCCCTTCTTCCCTGTCAATGTTTTATTCTTGTCCACTTTGATAGTACAAGAGCTGTTTGTGTGGGTGTGACTCCATTAGTGACAGTATCTACTTGGGTGTGGTGCCTGGTTACAAGTGTTTATACACCACCACACAGGCTGTATGTTTGTGTGTGCTGCAACACAGTATTGCACCTATTGTATCATCCAACTTTTTTCAACTTTCAAAAATGCGACACTGATGTATGACACAGGTTTAATAAACACGGTGTTGTTCTCTATTTGTCAGTCTGTTTTTTATGTTTCTCGTCACTGAGGGTGTGCTCTGCAAACAGGCTGGGGTTCTCGGCCAGTGTGGCACGAATCTTCTTTTTCTCCTTGAAGCGCCCAGAGTGAGAGACCTTGACGTGACGCCCCTTGGTGGCAGATTTATCCACAATCTTCTCTAACCTGGCGTTGAACTGGCTCTCAGTTTGATCCGCTGGGGAGTTATTGCTCGAGTGCTCTTTGTGTCCAGTGTTACTGCCATACTCGGTTGGAATCTCATACAAAACCTTGGATTCTGACTTCTTCTTGCGTGAGAAGGTCAGCTTCCACCAGCTTGGTTCAGCCATATCCCCAGAATGAATGACTGACCTGAAGGGCACAAGAAGGTTTATTATAATAATATCATTTTGAAGATATGACAAAGAAAGTTTTATTCTACCTTAATTGCAAATGTATGTTCCCATTGCATCTTAAATGTTGTGTCTCTTAAACTGAACAGGAAAAACAAAATCTGTCCTGATAAGAAAGTGAAAGTCAGCAAACAGATTTAAATCACTCTCCAAAAAAGATTTGGAGAAAAAAACAACCCAAAGTTATTTATATGTACTACCAACTGTAATTTAAAAATAACAATAAAGTTTTACTGATTCTTTTGGACCAGTTGCTATGAGGATTAATTGTCTTAAAATGCCAAAGAAATGACACACAATGTTATTTGTTTTTGTAAATGTAATAGATTCATTTTCCTTGTTTTTGGTCTGATCTACAGACAGAAATATCAACACTCAAAAATAGTCCATTGCTTTTAACTTGGTAGCACTGTTCAGTGTCTCACCAATATGTTGTCCTCATTCAAAAGGACTACCAGTGCGACCAATATGTTGTCCTCATTCAAAAGGACAGAGGACACTGAGTTGACTTATACCTAGAAAGCAAACAATCACTCTTTCTTCCATGCATGACGCATCTCCATGATTAGGAGGTGTAACCTAATGGGAGAGGACACCCGATCCTCCGCTCTGAGTCTGATAAATTAATGAGCATCTGAAAGTATCCCCTGTCCCTCCCATGTGACCTGATATGAATGTCAGACACAAAAAACTCGGCCTTCAATACGATAAGGAAGTGACCTGTTGTCTCTGAACAGGAGCCCAGAGCCTAGAGCTGTAGGCTCTGGATATTGTCAGACAGTAGAGGAATCTTTGGTCCTCAGCTGTTTATCTGACATCATCAGCTTTTCTTCGTATAGCTGTTATAATCCACAGACAAATGGCAGCTACAGTATGTGGCCAAAATAAGTTCCTCCTGAGCTTTATACTGTGATAACTCCAATGAAATACATGTGGACTATGATCAACCCCTGACCATTTGTTCTTATCTTATTTTAAATTAAACCAGAATTGTTACTGGGCGACTGCTGACTTAAATCTTAATTCTAACTTAAGCATCCTGAGCTAAGTTACATACATTGTTAGTGAAAGGTGTAACACATAAAAACCTGCCTTTATTTGTCTTGTGATACACTAGGAATTTACTTGAACCACTCACCCACCTCAGTTTTTTATCATTTAAAAAAGAAAAAAAAAACACTATGAAGAGTTCTTGTAATTTGGATTACCATTTAAAGTGCATACTTCATCAGATTGTTTTGAGTGGGCACTTAATATGTTAGTTAAATGTCAGTGTGCAGCATTAATAATTACCTTCAGGAAATTTATGAGAAAACAAAGTTGAACTTTTCCATTTGGCATTTTTGTCAGGTCTTAGCCACTTCCACAGATCAAATAACTCATTATCCAAATGAATACTTTCAATTCCACTCTGTATTCCTGGTCTTTAACATAGACTCCTTATATGGAGAAATTGACTGAATTGACAGATAGAATTGATCTATCTACCTATCTGAAATAGACATAGTCTTCACTCATTTGTGCCATCTCCCATCATGCTCTGGAATCTGTAGGGCGATGAGCACCTGCTTTTACAATCCCAGCTTATTGTGGCTCTGAACATTTTCGAGTACAGTTTAAAAATGTATATAGTCACAACTTTACAAACTTTATGCATATTTCGCAAATCCTAATTCATTTCATACTAATGCTACAACTCTAACTTCTTAAACTTTACTACCTTGCACTTTTACAATAAATTTTCCTCTAACATTTCAAAACATATTTGAATACCTGCAGCCGATGAATGCACAGTTTACTGATGTTTTCTATTTTTGCGCTCACGGCTGCCAGGGACCAATGAACCACATAAATCCTGTGGTGATTTTGTATCATCAAAGCACATATGTTAATAAAGGCTCCATGCTCTTTGAAGGAAACATTCATTTTAGTCTTATCTGGACCAGAGGTGTCACAAAAGACAATGTTGACAACAATTACCAGGGGTTTGGACAGAAAGATACTACCAAGTTGTGGAGGTAAATTTAACCATTATGCAGAAATTATTACGTCCAGTTAAACAAAAGATAGATATTTTTTTAAAGGCCAGTAACAGCTATAAAATAAACAGAAAGTTAACCAAAGCCACTGAATATACCTGTACTTATCATTAAGTATTTTCTTTAGCTGACGTCTGTTCACTGCTGCCAAACAAGTTGGAACAAAAAAAATGCAGTTCTACTACAAATGTTTACCCTCCATTTGGATTGTTGCCTGTCAATGCAGTTTCAGTAGAATACTTTTCATATTTTACTGTTATGTGAAAAAGCAACATATGTGTACAATATGATCACATATTTCTATGAGTGTACCATGTTTGACTTAGATGTGACCTTTGAGACAAAATTCCCTGTTGACACAAAGGAGGCCCCTCCATGGATCGCTTTAATAAGTTACCATGTATTTTGTTATGTGTGGGTGAGTCACACAGCATGGCCTCACCTATCACAGCAGGGAGGGGGCAGCGTGTGTGTGAGAGAGAGAGAGAGAGGGAGAGAGAGAGAGAGACCACATTTGGAAATCACTAACCAACTGCAGGGTATTTTCAGTAGAACAATGTTGGAGAGAATGGGTGGAAGGCTCAGGGAGGAGGAGGAGGAGGAGGAAGGAGAGAAGACGAAGTGGTTGCCGGACTCCAAGGACAGCGATCACTGTACTGCCTTCATAATTGAGCTGAGGGCTCATGGACTCTCAGGTTTCATGCTTTGTGCCAATGTTGCCACTGACCCGTGATGGCAGAGTTGAATGGGTTGATAAAATGGTCCAATGTTTTACAACAACACAAACTTACATCGATTCAAGTTCATCCTAAGAGGGTCAACGTTGGTTTGTGTGAGCGTTACTTTGTGGGAGGAATTTGTTGAGTGTTTCTTACATACTATTTTAATATTTAAAGACATTGTTAAGGAATGATATGTAATACCGACAAGACACCTGTCGTTGTGTCTTAACACGTCTACAGAAAAGAGGAAACACGGCTTTTGCAAAGAATTCACATTTCTCCTGTTTTGATTTTTTTTATCCAAACGTATCAGTTTCTTTAGAATCCTTTTAAGTCAAAGCTAATAATTATTGATTGAAATATAAAATACTGGAACAAAGACTGCTCAACCTAGAGCAGTACTTCTCAACATGTTTCAGTAATGGATCTCCTGTGGAATATCTCATTAGCTATGTACCCCCGTCCATAGTACTTTCTACAAAGGGGTACTTTTAAAACTATTTGTTTTTGATTGAAAAAAAAAATTAAATACAGAACAGTGACATCAGTATCAGATTATGTACCCAAAAGGTTGAAAATAATAACAAAATGGGAATCAAAATCAAAATTTGGGATCATACTATTTTCTGAAAATAATTAAACGCCTCCTTAATTCTCTAGGAATATGTATGTATAGAAAGTTAACACAAAAAGACAACCTAATAACAATTTTTGCCTCAGTGTTTGTTAATATAAAAACCTCTCATCGCCCTGAAGCGTCTCAATGTACCCACAGTGGTACGCTTAATCCCAGTTGAGCACCACTAATCTAGGGCATTGATTGAAATTCTTAAAACTCTTATTTGTCCGTTAAACAGATAAATATTCAGTTTACAATACTGTCTTCCCATCTTGAAGGCTAAAATCAACATTTTAAGGCATTGTTTGCCCTTTGGGGACTGCCAGGTTTGGAGACTTCATGTCAAAACACTTAGTTAATCATCAGTGCAGTTGAACACAAAGTCCCAGTCTAAAATGTATTTTAAAAATGATGTTAACCTAAAGTATAACACCAAATTTGATAACAGTGTGGCAAATAAACCAAGAAAACACAATTCTCACATCCCTGAAGTTTAAATCAACTTTTTTTTTTACCTTGTTGACAATAAGCTCAGTGAAGGAGATTCTGTCAGATGTGATACTGCACCACCATTCTTCTAGAGGTCCTCTGGTTTAGTCCTCAGGTGATCATGAACAGGTGCAGCATCTCTTCCTTTGTGCTTCTGCTCTCTCACATTATCACTGCACATAGAGCAGTCTAGTTACACACACCCTACCCAAACACACACACACACACACACACACATCGACACAGACACACAAAGCTCAAAGCCCGCCCAGCTATGGGCATAATTACGTAAATGTTGTAACCATGTGATTTCAGGGAGTCCCAACCACAGGGCAAGTTACTGGCATCAGGGTTTATGTGAATGTGACACTTTCTCCAACCCATCCTGTTTAAAGATACACTTATATGTGGAGTTAAAGGTGATCAACTATGTAAGAGCAACATGTGAGAGTACCTTTTTCACAGGTTCTGAATAATCACACATGCTTACTTTGCAAGTTTGGTAACTATTCAAATGACCTAAGATCAACTTGTGCCGCTGCTGATTTACATGTGGGAAGTTTTTGCCATTATGAATATGTTGAATGACTGTGCCATTGTCCATCCTGAGAATCTCATTTAGACTAATGTTTGGATACATGCTTACATTGACAGTTAATCACTGGACCTAAGTAACGTAGTGGAGCGTAAAATGTTGTTCATATAGAAAACAATAGTAGTCAGCTTCACTTACTAGAATATTAATCAGCTACTTTCTCCAAAATAAAGCTCAATTGCATGAATGAATGAATAATGAATGAATGAATTGACGTTGGGGTTGAGTTCTCTTTACATTTATTGAATTTTATATGCATTAAAATGATTTAAATTCTTTATTACACGTACCTGTGTACTTTTTGTATTAAGTGTTGGTCATCACTTTGCGTGGTCTTACAAGACACTGCCCTCTGTAGGCGGATATTGTAACTGGAAATTCCGCAAGTACCAATCAGCGTCAGACGTGAGTATAGTGAATTGTCATTGGTCATTTGGTTTGACGGTGAAACACCGCCTCTGACCATTGGCTTTCTTTCCTCTAACGTGTCGTAAACAGATGAAGGGCTGTGCGTCAAGAGCTAATAATGATATGGACGTTCATATAAAGTTGTTATTATAATCGAACCGTAAGATCTGAAAAGAACTGACGTTTTTGTCTTGACGGTGAAACAAAAATGGAGGTAATGTTTCTGTCTTTAGTTTTATCAGGGTGTCAGCTAATGTGAGCTAGCTGTCAAAGTGAAGAGTCCAGATAAATGAACATAAACGAATTGCACAATTGTCGTTTTGTGATTTATTCCAACGTCTTTTCATCTGAATTTAAAAACCATTATATTTATAAATGTTTTGCTATGTCGTCTTACCTTCACAGAATATTCAAAATCTTCCAATAGATATTCAAACCAGCAAGCTTCTGGGTAAGACAAAAACAAAACTCTCTATATAGAAACTTTTGCTATGCTTTGGTATTTATATGCAAAGTTATAATTATGCCTACTTTGGTAACAAGGAAAAACCTTTTCTCAAAAATTAGTTCCTGTTGTGTTACGACATATACAAGAATTTACTGGATTTACTGTTTAAAAATTCTATCCAACGATCTAAATAAAAAAACACTTCTACTCTTATTTTATCAAAAGACCTTAACACATTTACTTGTTTATCCACAGACTGGCTGCTGGATCGACGACACTGTAATCTGAAATGGCAAAGTACAGTGAAAACCATCAGAGAGAAAATCAATGCTGCCATACAGGACATGCCAGAGAACGAGGAGATCAAGCAGCTTTTGTCCGGCTCCTGTAGGTCCATTACAGTCCCAGGCTGTACCTTTCCTGTATTTTCTCATTTAAGCTTTTATGAAACATACATTTAAAAAGTTGATAAGACTATTCAATAGTCCTTATAGACATTTTACTTTTTTAGCACTGTTTTAGCAACTGTTACAAAACACATAATTAGTCATGCATGTCATACATATTTTATAAGAAGTAAACAATTATTAAATAGTTAAACATGAAATGTTATATCATTTCTAAGATTACATTTATTAAGGCTTGTTCTTTTAATTATTGTTCTGTTCTGTTGATTGTTAAAGCTGTTAATTGTGGCTGCACTAGCAAGTGTTCTATCCTATTTTACTTGTGTATTGTAGGTATTTTAAAGTAGAATTTGTTTTGTTTTGTTTCATTGATAGACATCCATTATTTTCATTGCCTGAGGATTGTGGAGCTACTGAGAGGAACAGAAGCGTCTTCTAAGAATATCTTTGGCAGATATTCTTCTCAAAGGATGAAGGTGAGATGGTGAAACCAGTGGTTTTTCAAACCTAAGTGGTCTGAGGGGAATTTGGGACCATTTTATGTGAACTAAAATACACCAAAACTGTATTTTGTTGCTGCAGGACTGGCAGGAGATTGTTTCCCTTTATGAGACAGATAATGTCTATTTGGGTGAGTCAAATGATAAAAACAAAACTACTAAGTTAACATATAGTCTCTACAGAAGAATAGATTTTGAATCTATTTGATGAAAGAAAATATTTACAGATACATGATTATTTCTTAATTATAAATAATAATATTTAAGACAAATGATGTCTGTCTTTCAGCTGAGGTTGCCAGCTTGCTTTGTCGCAATGTGAGCTATGAAGGCCCGGCTCTAAGAAAGCAACTTGCCAAAGCAAAGCAGCTGCAGCAGGAAATGAGCAGGCGGGAAGTTGAGTGTCAGAACTCTGCTACGAATCTGAGGGAAAAATACTATGCTGCCTGCAAACAGTATGGCATCACAGTAAGTGCAAAAGCATACATTGGATTACTATGCTTTTTGATTTGTAAAAGTTGCACACTGTTTGGCTTAACTTAACATTTTCTTCCTAATAGGGAGAAAATGTAGCACGTGAGCTTCAGGCTCTGGTCAAAGACTTACCTGCAGTTCTTGAGGAAATTGGAAAGGATACAGGGGAAATAGAAGAGCAAATCCAACTTTACGCCGCTTTCACAAACTTTGTATGTGAGTGGTGAGTACATTACTGAAAAGTCACCTTCTCTACACTTTTTCTGTTTAACATCAAGCTTATCATTCCCAGTACATTTAATTGAACATTGTTGATATAACAATAGTATTATGCAAATTAAGCTTAGCTTAATTAATTTAATAGCACATACATAATTACCCAGTTTACTTTAATTTATTTAATGGAATTTACATTTTATTCATAGGTCCGAGCCGGTTCTACCCATGCTGACATTTGTTCAGAAGAGAGGAAACACAACATTTTATGAGTGGAGAACGAGGAACGTACCCACAGTTGTTGAGAGGCCACGTGTGGAGGAAGCAGGTCCTGAGGCTGAAACAGAGGATACAGTTAGTTTTATACTTTGGTGTACTGCACATTCAAGTCACGCAGGGTTATTGTTATGTAAACAATGTTACCAGATTAGTTTCTGTAATTTTTTTCTGTAAGATTGATTGGGGTGACTTTGGCAAAGGAACAAATGCTGCCGATGTTTCCGTCATCACTGTGGAGGATGGTGTAGACTGGGGTATCAGTCTGGAGCCAAGTTGTGGGGTAAGACAACTTATGGGAAGGAGGCTGTTTATGTAGTACACTCTAATAACAGTAATTGTAACAATAGTAATAACAACATTTCAGGGTCTAAGAGCAATTGGAAGTGTTGTTAACCACAGCTCTTAAAGTTTATATTTGCTGTATCCCTCAACAGGAAACCAATGAAGGAGCCATTGACTGGGGTGACAATGAAGCAGCTCCCTTAGAAATTGAAGTTGTTGATGGGGGAACAGACTGTGAGATTTTTTTTTTTCAGACTGCTATTATGCCTGTGGGTACATTTAGATTATGTTCATTTGTGACATTCACATTGGTAAAGGTAGGTATACTGTTTGGTAGGTCCTGAGGGTGTGGCAAGAGGACAAGATGCTTTAACTCTGCTAGAGAACTCTGAGTCCCGCAGCCAGTACATTGATGAACTCATGGAGGTAAAATGTTAAATAACATAAAATTATGATTTATTGGTTTACAGTAGATGTTGGTTTCAACCTTTTGTGGTTGTGGCTTCTTGAGATTGTTTACATGACAATGTATCTGAGTAATTCAATTTTGATTTGGCAGAGGGGAGATTAGACCAGTGGGATTATGATAAAAAAGTGACAGTGATTTCATATGTTGATATAGTTGGAAGTGTTCCTAATGCAGCGCATCAGTGAGATGGCAGAGGAGGGAGATGTGGTGTCAATGAGCCAGTTCCAGCTGGCTCCTTCTGTCATCCAAGGCCAAACACAGAAGCACGTCCAGAACATGCTGTCTGTTGTGCAGGACCTTATAGGACGACTCACCTCTCTTCGGATGCAGCATCTGTTTATGATTCAGGCCTCACCTCGGTACGCGGTCATGACTATAATGCACTTCATGAAATAACTCACACGTTCACAATTGTTCATCATTTAGTTACACAAATTAAACATGCGTTGCAGAGGGTAAAACTTAATTTGTGGGTAATTTCAGGTATGTTGAACGCGTGACAGAGGTGCTGAGACAGAAGTTAAAACAGGCGGACATTCTAGTACTAAAAAGTCAATCCATGGTTGAGAGGAGACAGGAAGCCCTCGAAGAGCAAGCGAGACTGGAGCCTCGTGTGGACCTGCTGACAGGGTGTACCCGGGAACTCCAACAACTGGTACTATAGAAATTAATCTCCAAATTAAAAGATTTTTTTAAACATTAAAACATTCTAAATATTTTGTAACTGTATCTGCCACCTTTGTTATGTTTTACAGATTGAAGCAGACATTTCAAAGCGATATCACAACAGGCCTGTAAACCTGATGGGTGTTAACATATAATACGCTTTTGAGAGCCTCACAAGAAGCATTTTGTAATTAACGTCAAGGAAAATAAAAATATTTAATTTGAAGGAATTGTGTGGTCCTTACAATTTGCACACATAAAATGGCACTTGTTAGTACCATTAAGGTTCTGAGAAAAAAAACTACCACTGAATAAAAGAAGATACATTTAATAATATCTAGAAAAACATACTAGGCAAAAACCATCAAGAAAAGACGAGCATAAAATTGACAAAGCTCTTGGTTAAATACAAAACTAGTAGTGACCTCACCATTGACTTTTTGCCCATAATTTTCACTAATAATCTACAGATTAATATACAGATACAGATCTATTAACAGATATACAGCTCTTTGACCTAATTTAAAAATATCATGAGGTTAAAACAAAAGTTAGCGACAAAAAAATGGTTTTCTTTATCTTAATGATAAAATCTGCGTGTTTATGACAGCTGATGAAAGCTTGCCACTAGAATATTCTACGCATGCGCTGTGCGAAAGCGTGTTTTGGTGTCAAGCGGCGCAGCTAAAGCTTTTAGCCGGCGAAGCTAACGTTTCTGCAAGTCATGGTGGGCCATTCAATGAGGAAAGGCTGAATCTTGCAGCACCGAGGAAGTTTTCCATAAAATAGAGTTTTAATTCTTGGCTCATCTGATAGTGGACCTTTGGATATGAGGACATAACTCATGCGTAAGTATTACATTAAGAGGCTTTGATTTAAGCAATGCGTTACAAGTCGTAACATTGTTATTATGTCGATTCTTAAACATGATCAGATCGCATGTTTATGTAAGATGATGAACAGCATGTGTGTGACAATAAATTGGAAATCTGCGTGTGCTGTCATAGATTACTTTTTACTTTTAAAAGTTTTGATGTTACAGTATTCAGCAACAAACAAGCTAACTAGGCTAGCGCGTATGTATACCGTGGTTTCCAATCGTAATTTAGGTTTTCCGAATGCCCCACCCTTGTTCAGATTTTATTGGCTAGAGCTTGCTGGAGTCATGTGTCGTACCCGCGTCTGCGGTCTGTCATTGGTCGGGTACAGCGTCAGTTTTTCTTTCACCACTTGTTGCCAGGGAGATTGTTTGATGCCCGCAGATAAAATGCTCGAGGTGATACATGTCACCTAATCGATTGAGGCAAGAGGGAAGTTTGTTAGCAGTTATAATGATACCTCGTATTGTTGACAATGAGACGAGTGTACTTGCGGAGTGGCTCCAGCCAGATTTTAAAACTGAAAGTAGCCAGAGGGCTAACGGCGTAAGCGATGGATAGAAGAGGGAGGGACCGTGGTGCTGTCCAACCCAGCGAGCTTTCTCGACTCCCTCATTCACCTTCAGCAGCGCCCACGAGAAGTAGTTGTCCTGTCAAGGGTGGGGTGATGCCTGCTCCAGTGTCCTGTGGGCTCATCGTGTCTACCCTGCTCAGTGTCCAAGAATGAAAAAGACGTGTCGTTGGTGCTTGGTGACATTACTTCTCATAGTCTTTGGAGAATGGAGTGGCTGCAGGGGACAATCTGGTCCTGATTTTTACCCTAATTTTATCAACATGTGCTCAGTGCAATTGTCGGTAGGTAAGACTTGGGTGTATGCGTGTGTGTCTGTGTGAAAGAAGCGTGGTTGTCATTTCATACTAATGTAATTTGCAGTAGAGTGACAAAATGTAATTATGTTACTTTTGTCAGGAGATTGCGGGGATGAAATCGTTATGAAGAACAAAGCTTTGTGGACTGGCAGAAGTGGAAAAGAGCCTTGGATCTGATAAGCATTTTAAACTCATAGAAACCTGTGGAAGACCTTTACCCCTCACCAATTTAAAAACTCCTTATGTTCCTGTATTTATTTCCTTTTTCTAGATCTAGTACAAAAGAATTTATCCCAAAGAAGTTGGCTCCGTTTTTGTTTTTAGTTTTTACCTTCACCTTTTGTTCCTTTGTAAAGAAATGCTTTACCTGAAAAAGTACTTCACAGAGGGCCTGATCCAGTTCACCATCATTTTAAGTCTTATCGGGGTGCGGGTGGACGTTGACACCTATCTAAGCAATCAGCTTCCCCCACTGAGAGAGATCATCCTGGGCCCTAGCTCAGCCTACACCCAAACACAGTTTCACAATCTGCGCAACACACTGGACGGCTATGGCATCCATCCAAAGAGTGTGGACCTGGACCATTTCTTTACCACTCGGCGACTTCTGAACCAGGTGCGCCAGCTGGATCGCCTATCTGTGCCCAGTACTGAGCTCAATACCTGGCTTGTGCATCGTGACTCTGAGACCGTGGTGTCAGCCAGCAGCCAGTCCAGCCCCAGCATCACCCTGGACAATGGGGCCGGCCTAGAAGATATAGACAACCCTGAAGCTACCCCGGCCATGAGGGGAGGAAGTGGAGCACCTGAATCCACGTACAACTTGAACACAGCGGACAGCAGCCTGGGAGCTGTGGCCCTAGAGGGCAATCAGGAGCAGGGAAGCAGGGATGGCAATGAAGACCTCACCAAAGAGGTACTGGACAGGGGGGA